TGCCTGGTTTTTCAAAGGGTTGTATTTCAAGTCAAACCAGCCTATGAAATGATGCATTTTACCTGGGACTAAAAAGTCTTAAAACTGAACATTGAGGAATTTTTGTATTTTCTCAGAGTGCTTGACTGTGCTCATTTACAATTTTTTTCTAAATACATTTTATTCCTTGGGGAAGTGCCTGTCCTGAGGTTAAGTGATCTCAAACAATAGGATGATAGCAGAAGGCCCACTTTTTTCATTCTATACTTATCCAGATATCTAGTATTTTTAAACAAGCAGCCAGCCTTGCTGTTGTGGGAAACGCTCCCGTGTAGTTCAAATATCGTAGTCAAACCATTGAGAAATGCAAATATTTTTTAATGTGCAGATATAATTTGGAAATCCTGATCTGCTTGTTGTATATTGCAGGCCATTCCTTCAAAAGCCGCTCACCAGCTCAGTCCTCTGCCCTTTCCTCTTTCTAGGCCCAGCAGCCTACAGCTAAGTGTACTCTGGGTGTTTGACAAGGACCTCAATCCAGGCACATGTATTCGCTCATTGACAACAAACAATCCACTTCCATCCTCAGTTTAGGGTGAAAATACGCAAGCCTTGCAAACAGCTTGGGAGACAAGAGAAGATGCAGCCCACTGGGCAAGCTTGGGGTCCCTCACTGTACAGGGTGGGTGAAACAACAGCAAATAACACAACCACTCAATCTGAGCCGTGATAGAGGACTGTTCCAAGAACTCCATCTGCCCTGTACCCAACTGCTTGAGAGCTTTTTCTCTGTGCTATGCTATTTTGTAAACAGACCACCTTAAAACAGCATATTTAGAGCTAATGTATTCTACTTTACGCTGGAACAGTTAGAAATACAACCACTCAGACAGGAACACTTCCCAGACAGAACGCTAAAACTAAGAGCTAGGAGGCAACTTAAGACATGATTCCTTTTGCCGTTCATTTTTAATTGATGCCTCACAGCGAAGGCTGTCTGTGCTGCAATTTGGACATGAGAGCACAGGATCAGAAGGCTCAATAAGAGCAAGTGCCAGGGCCAGGCTGAACTGAACATGTGTTGACAAATGGCATAGGAATTACCCGTGTCCCTATTCCACTAGCTAAGAATCAGTGAAATGTTGACACACCTTGTGTACATTCGCTGTACACTCACACCTCACGAGAGGGGCATAAAAGCCACCTTCAGCAACATCCATGAGATAATTTCCTTATGGAGGAGGAATTTTCCACAGAGAAGTCACTTTAAGCAATGCTCTAAGGTAGCTGAGCAGCTTTCAGCTGAAGAACACAGCTCGATGCCTGTACTGTTATATTACATTGACAGCAAAATAAGTGCTTATTAAAAATATCTTTTTCTTTGAAACCAAACTATTTAAACTTGATGACATTCAGGAAACGGCCCTAACAGAAAGTATTGCTGTTGGAAAGGTAAGAACAGAAGATCAAATCCAAAATGAGTTTTGGACTCTGTCAAAGGGTCTTTTGTTCTTCGAGCTCTCATGGCCATAACTAAAATTTGTGGAAATTTTGTAGAAATTTGACAACATGCTGATACATGAACCTTTTTTTTTTTTTTTTAAATGGAAATACCTTTTCTGTCAAGGCAGGAAAAGCACTGTTATTTCACCACATACATACTTATTGCATTGGCATGTTCAGAGTTCTCCCATTTCTCTCTGCTAACCATGATCTTTATCCAAAAAGTGGCAAAACCAGTTATGTCCACAATGTTTGCTTTCTACTAATAACTGAAAGCTGAAGGACACAGAAACAGTAAGTCCCTTACACAAATCTCATCAGCTATTTTTTACAAACTCTGGGAAAAAGATGTCAAAGACATCAGCTTAAAGGAAAATTTACAGTTTCTGCAGAAAATATGAATTTAGAAATTCTAAACTCACTGTACCTGATTTGAAACTAGCAATCACTGATACATAATTTTAAGAAGTAATGTACAGAGTGCAAAAGAAGGTTTGTTTAATAAGGTCTGAATTCAGAAGATGAAAAAAAAACCCCACCTCTATCATCCTGTCATCTGTGTTAGGTACCAAATAAAATTATTTGATATAAACAAGAGCAAGGAGATGTTAGAGGTTAGAATTAGGTTACGCTTTGATTAAACTAATAATTAAGCATGGAAAAACAGACACGTATGGGATGGACTGTAAATGGCTGTCTAATGTGATAATGTCTCTGAAAGACTTATGCTTTGGTTTAGGTTGAGACTGGTTGTATAAAAGTTAATAGACTAAATTCAGCGGGGGAGAAGCCGTTGTGTGGGTAAGGCCTGTGCTGACACTTACCTGTGGTTTTATTATACAGTGACCCTTTGGGTAGCAGATACTGTCTGAACACCCAAATGCAGGTTAAGGGGCAAAATAATAATGCTGTGGGCATGGAACAACTGAGATAAGCTTGCTACAAACTGCAAGGAACTGAGAAAATATCATTGTTCTTACGTTAATATGGAAGATGACCCTCTGGCTTTTCTCTTCCTGATTTTTCATAGACTTGGTTTATTTGTAACGCTTTTAAACTAAATCTGTTATGTAAATGTTCTCCGAGGACTGTTTTCGTAGGAAAGAAAACACATTTTGTTCCTTAGGCAACTGCCTAACTTACCAGTCATCACATCCATGATGAAAAGATGGCATGATACCAAAAGCTGCCGTTACACAGGTGCTACCTGCAGTCTGGATACAGCCAGCTATCTACTCTTTTTAAGAAAGTAGACAGCTAGATGGCAGGAGTGGTAGAATTTTGAACACTTCTGTGAAGTTCACGTACAAAAGAAATGCTAATTATACTGCAAGCCAATTGGGTCGTGAGATGTATATTAGAAGGGAGATAAGCCATTGGAGTGGGGAGATTTGGGTGACTGAAGTATCACAAGTTATGTAGTCGAATGTCGCAGCCCCTAAATGAAATTGCACCTGTGACTTATACGAAACCGTTGCTGTAAATGAAGTCACTGAAAACAACAAAAAAGGTATCTAGTCAATAACTTTATTATTGTATTAGTAATAATAACCGAGGTACTTCTGTTTCAGTACATAAAGTCATAGATCTTTTTACTTGAAATGTACTAGGGCTTGTATTTAATATGATTCTTCCAGCTCTAATTCAGGTGAAAGCTGAAGATATCTGCATCTAGAGTGAAGCCTGGTGAAACAGGCAATGCTGCTCATTCACATGATGGCCACTCCATTTTTCTCACTGAATTAGCAAAAAAATACTGCTCTAATTTAAGAACTTCTGATTTTCCTTCTCTGATTGAAGCTCATCCCACAATTTGACCAAAAAGGATTGCCATTTTGTGGCTGGAATATAAGGAGAGTACTTTTTATACATTGATGATTATTTAGTGTTTGAAAAATTGCCTCTTCAGAGCCCACCTTATGGATCAGGCCTGGAAGTACTTGTATCACTTAGAAGTGGGGTGCTAGGTGTAAACCCTACAAAGCTGACAGGCACCCACCTTCTGGATGGGCTCCAGCAGAGCTGGGCTCCTAGACTGCCCTCACAGAAACTGTCTGCTGGGTATAAAACCTCAGGGACCTGCCAGAAAATGCCGAAGACAGAAGCATGACTGAAACACTTGTCTCCTGTATGGCCTCATGTCCACGCTTGTGGATGGAAAAATCTGAAATTGAGATTTAGACCGTTAAACTCACCTCTTCTGCTTTGGCTCCTGAAGGCAGACAGCAGCGCTACCCACTCAGGAAGCAAGAGAAGAGTGGGTCGGTCCTTCTGCGGGGAGGCCTGTGTCTGTCAGGGATTCACGGGTTTTGCAGAGCAGACAGAGTTGCTCAGGTTTGGTCAGAAACAGAGTTTAGATGGGTTTGATCCAAATCCAGTCCTTCTGTCAGGCCAGAATAACAAACATGAGCACAAATGCTCGTATTTCATCATGTCATCAGTGCTGTAAGAAATGTTGAAGTAAAAATTTCTGTAGAACTAGCTAACTGCATTTTGTTTCCTCTCTACTTTTTTTCAGACATCAAGAACAAAAACACCTGACCAGTCTGACTAATGTGCATTGCTTAATTTCAGCTTTGTAGCGGAAAAAGAGAAATGTCACAGAGGCGTCTGTCCTAAATTGGATCTTTTTATGAATAACTGTTGTTCAAGGGATTTGTTGGCTTTGGGCTGATAGAAATTAAACCACATAAAAGTGTTGTTTGTCCTTAAATGTAGAGAATAAAGAAGGAAAAAGACAAAGAAATACACACCGTGTTCCGTGAAACTAAAATGCCACAGGCTTTTTTACTGGATGAACCAAGTACAATTCTGTTCCTTTCAGAAACTGTTTAGAGAAAGGTATGTCTATATGTTTTACATTTATTTTTAAACACCAAAACAAGTTTGCATAGTCTAGAATCTCAGCTGTGAGAAGAATCACTTTAGCAGTAGTCTTCACAAGCACAACGGCTGCATGAAGCATACAGAAGACGCAGAGGAAATACAAGTAAAGTCTGATGTCACTCTAATGCATTTTCTTTCCAGAGGCCTGTTAACAATTTTTAGACTGAAGAGAATTGTCGTTACTGTATTTATCTACAGTGCTATTTTTAATTTGAATGAAACTTGTACAGATGAAATTACGGTTGCTTAATTTTACTGGTATTGAACCTGTTTCATTAATATGCATGTTGACTGAATAACTGCCTATGAACCTTCTAAAATGTGCTTCTAATTACACCAGCGTTACGTATTAACTAGGAACCTGACCCTATCATTCAGTCACATTCTTTTTTTCCTAGCTTATCATTATATGTGTGTTGATAGGAGCAGTTATTTTTGCTGATAATTTAATTTATCATAAATAAACACATTTCTCATGATAGTTACTTATTTCACTGAATGTAGCAGTACTTCTGCCATGCAGCTAGGTGAAAGCAATGTTCAATGGAGAGCAGGTTTGGCAGTGTGGCTTCTAGTAAACATTTCACCTCAGGGATTTTGTGCTATCTTTTCTTTCTCTTTTTCCTTTTCAGGGAATATTTGTCCTAGGATTGCCGTACGCTCTTCTCCACAGTGGATACAGTGGCCTGTTTCTTATTATCTTGGCTGCAGCATTATGCTGTTACACAGGCCAAATTCTAATCGCTTGCCTGTATGAAGAAAATGAAGAAGGGCAGCTCGTAAGAGTGAGAGACACGTATGAAGATATTGCAAATGCCTGCTGCAAAAAGCTATCACCCAACCTAGGTGGTATAGTTGTCAATGTGACCCAACTGATGGAACTGAGCATGACATGTATTTTGTATCTGATTGTTAGTGGGAATTTGCTGTCACATAGTTTTCCATATGTACCCGTGACTGAGAAAACTTGGTCTATGATTGCATTTGTTACACTGCTGCCCTGTGTGTTTATCAAGACTCTCAAAATTGTTTCCAAACTCAGCCAGCTTTGCTCCTTGGTCCATTTCATTATCATCCTTGTAGTGATGGCTTACTGTCTCACACAAATACATCAGTGGTTGTGGGCAAAATTCAGACTCTCCATTGAGTTTGAGGACTTCTTGGTCTCTGTAGGGGTGATCATTTTCAGTTACACATCACAAATATTTCTTCCCACACTGGAAGGTAACATGAAAAACCCAGAGGAGTTTAGATGTATGCTGAATTGGACTCACTTTTTTGCTTGTGTCTTGAAAACCACCTTTGCGCTGACTGCCTTCTTGACCTGGGGTGAAGAGACAAAGGAAGTTATTACTGACAACCTGCCATCATTTCTTCAAACCCTAGTGAATTTGTGTCTCTTCACCAAGGCTCTTCTTTCTTACCCTTTGCCCTTCTTTGCAGCCACAGAAATTGTGTATGCTTGTATTTCTAGAGGCAAGCATTGCAATTACAGATCTCCATTATTTTCTCTGGGTGTAAGAGGCTCATTTCTCCTGTTAACTTTGCTGATGGCCATCTTCATACCACATTTTGCCCATTTGATGGGTTTAACAGGCAGTGTAACAGGTGCTGCTATGACTTTTATTCTTCCTTCTCTCTTCCATTTAAAACTTCAATGGAAAAAACTGTCCTTCTTAGAGAAATGTGCAGATATCTCTGTTTTTATTTTGGGTTTCCTCTGTAGCCTTGCAGGCATAGTTTGCTCAGTAAAGGGGCTGCTTGAAGTATTTGGAGGTGTGTAAAAAGTTTTCCTGAAAGCCAAATAAGGCCCAAATCTTATAAATTATTTTACCCTGTTAGTCAGTTTATAAGAGATTTTGTCACTAGGTAAAATTAAGCATGTGCTCAAATGTTTGCAGAATCGGGGCTTTAACTGTAAAAGTATGTGACTCTAGGAAAATTAGAAAACAACCTTTATAGCGAAAAAGTACAAAATTACCCCTATTTAAAATGTTGAGAGGAAAGCAGGTGTAGGGATGGTTTAGCATTAAAATAATTTTAAACTAATCCTATATGGTTTTGTTTGTACACGACATGCACATCCTGAAATGATTACTGCAAGTGATTCCACTAATTTAACCAGAATTTCTCACAGGTTAGACACTGTTCAGTCTCAAAGCTATAAAAACTAGCTTCCAGGACATGATAGATTTTGATAGCTATCATTGCAAATGGATTAAATACAATTTCATGTTGGCAGAATCTAATTCAACATGTGAACCGAACAAATCAGTGAATTTAATCTTTGATGTAAGACAAGTTCTACTACTTGTTTTTTAAATGAGTAGGCAAAAAGAGAACTCAGTTTACAACAGCTTTGAAAGGCTGCTTTTATCATGAGTTCAAATGGGAATTCAGTCAGAGTAAAATGGGTATTCTAACAGCTCAAAGTCATGGAAAAGGGAATTTGTTCTGAAAGAAGTTATAGTCAATGACTGCAGCTTTTCTGCAAGTCTAATTCCTAAGATTCATGCCTCTGCAATGCAGTTATTCTATTGGTCAGGCTGCGAGAAGTCTCACTGGTAGCATGAAAACGTTAATATGCAGTTCACTTTCCTTCTTAGGTTGGAAATTTCTTTGATCTTTGTATTTTATTTGATGATATTAAAAGCTCAAAGAAGTAAATCAAGTTCAATAAACAGACACACAGTTAACTTCCTGTATGACTTGCTACATCTTTAGTTTTAAAAGATATTGTCTTATAAAAAGATCAAGATTGCAATGTGTTTTACATTAGTGATAAAACATGACAAGATGCAATCTAATCAGTGTACTACAATAAATACGTATCATCTTATTGTACTAACTCTATGTTATATTAGGTAATTAAAGTGACAATTTGGAAGAAGAAAGTTTACATTTTCATTATCAACGATTTCACACAACCTTCTGCTGCGTCATATGAAAAAGTCTTTGCATGTTAACGTAAGACTGGATTATAGAGTAAAAAGCCTAGCAGTAACTGCTTCACTAAACTGTGTTTCTATGTAGTATCGTAGCATCAATGCTTCTGTCCTTCGTGAGCAACAGTGACCTCTCAAGGCTAATTTGCTGAATGATAAATAACATGCAATTAAACTTGAGAGGGGTTCTGATAAGCCTTGTATGTCACCCCGTCCCTTTCTTTGTCTCCCAATGTACACTTGTTATGTGCAGAATAGTGATGAAAAGATTATTAAAACAAATTAATTGCATAATTACAAAATTATTAAAAAACCTGAGGAAATAACTAGTCTCGCAGAACTTGTATTACTTCTTTGGTACAATGGGTCAAATTCTACACTCAAATCCAAAACAGTTTAATTTATTGATATTGAGATTAGTGCTGGAACAAATAGGAGGTATGTACTTATAAGGAGTCTTCTTATTTGTGCGCAGAATGTAAAAAATACATTACTCATCGAAGTACTTGAAAGCTTGTTATTACTCCTCTGACACAGTCAGAAGGATATTATTACTTGGATGATGTCAATGAAAGGGTATCATTACTTTTTGTGTGGAGAAGTTTCACAGATAAACAAACATGCAGTAACAGTATTTGTTCTATTTATCCTATATAAATCTCTGAGGACAGAGGCAAGTTGTTTGAAGAGTTTTGTAGAAATTCTTTCAGCTACTATACTTAAAAATTCTCCACAAATAATTCACCATTTTTTTCCCATCTCCTACTTTTATTTACTGTGTTTTGTCTCTAACTCTTCAGAAATTCTTGGAATTGCCTCAGTGCATTTGCTGTTGAGGAAAGCTTAGAAATGGCATAAGCAGTGTATTTGTATGGCAGTTTTAGGAATTCCCTGCCATATCAGTGTGATTCAAAACTGGCTTTTGTTGGACTTTCTTCTCTCAGCCTTTTCAAGAAACCAGTGCCTATTCCTTTCAAGCCAAAGATGATCATTCCCTCACCCCCTCTCCCCCAGTCATTCTCACTTGCTTATGCAAGCTCTTTCCTACAAGGGAAGATCTGTAAAACATGTCCTATTATTGTCCTTATTTTATCAGTTACATAATCTCAGTTAACATCACGGAACAGCAAGGGCTGTGATTAACAAGTAAATACAACTACAAACGCACAAAAGTGGGAGGAAAGTCATCCAAGTGCAAGGTCTCCTTCGAGAAGTCACTTAGCAGAGGCCACTAGAATAAGAAAGAAAGCATAGTTCAAGATTCCCTTTTTGTGACTAGCACTCAGCAATTTTGAAGTGTGCCATTGTAGAGGGGCACAAAAGCTGTATGAGCTTCCCTTTAAAGCCATGGCCAGACATCTTCAAGAAATACTATCTTCTGGGGTCAAGATTAAATGGGCCTTCCAACTCAGAAAGGCAGAGATACACCTATCCACCCTACAGCCTGAACATGGTGCTCAACACACATGATAAAGACAAAAATAAATATTCGTTATATAAGGCTGATTCACTGTATTTCATTTCCTAAAACACACAATTGTAAATTTTTAGATAGACACTTATTTCTGAATACTTTCCAATGGCAAAATTTTAATAATAATGTACATACAGTATTTGCAACTGTCTATATGAGATGTTAAAATACCATCTATAGAATATGTTCAGAAAATCTAGAAAGGTGGTCTTAATTACATACTAGGAGGCACTGTATTTATCTCTATAATGACTATCGGGAATTTTTGTCACTAAATTTATACTACCAATCATTAGAATCACTGAAACTAGAAAAGTAAAAGACTGACTATATATTAATCTATTATTTTGGCCACTCCTGGGTTATTCATTGCAATATGATGGTACTTTCTGAAAATGAAGTCTGAAAGCAAACAACCAACAGTAGTGAACATAAGGAAAACACTAAGGAACAAATTATGCACCGAAATGAAACATTTTCAAACAATATTGCTTCATTTACTTTGCCAGCAAAAGTACGAGTAAAGAAACATATTTCATTTCAGCAAGAATATCACAGGCATTACCCAAAATGCTTCTCCTATTTTCTAGGTATTGCAGGGTCAACAACAAACCCTGAATTCCTAGTTCTGACAGTAGTTATGCAGATTTAAGTCACTCAGATTACTCTAAAATTAAAATACAGGCTCAACTAAAGTATCTCTTGCAGGTAGACTGAGGAACTTCAAGTGTTTATTTGTGAAGGCTTTGAAAAGCTTGAATCTGCAGTTAGGGTAAAAACTGACTCAGTGAAAGCATAAGCATTGACTTCAGTGGACCAGGGCTCTAATGTCTGTAGTCCATTAACAATACTTAATTTATTTTTACACCAAAGCTTGGTCATCACTTCACTTCATAACTGGAGGTTCTTTTCCATGTTATCACATCTTTTCTCTTTTTCCAGCAGCGAGATAAATGTTTTCATTGTTGATGCTACTGAAATGTGAGAGAGATGTCAGAAGAGCTATTGAAAGGAGTTCTTGAGGCTAACACCACTTCATTAACTCTTCGTCCTTGATTATTCACTGCGTTTCTATTTTGTGAAGTGAATTCTGAACGACATGTACATTGGCTTTGCCTTAACTCTGAAAATGTGTTTGTACAAAAATGGAACAAATAGCATGTCCTGCGAATGCTTCATTAAATCAAGTTTCAATTTTCAGTATTTCTTTTCAGAACTACAACATTCTAAAAACTGATAGCCAATTTCTAGAAATCATTTATCCAGTTCTTCTGCATTGTTATTAATTATCTGGATGATATATTAATCGTAGAAAATATTTATCTTCCAAAATTGAGTAGAAAAGGAAATGTATCTCAAAAAAATGTTTTAATAGTATGCTGAGATTTAGTTGTCCCAAGAGCTCACATGGGAAATAAAATATTGGAAAATTTATTGTGTTCTGTAGTAGCTGGCAATGAATCTGAAAATACACAGTTTGAAAATCACTGAAGTATTTTTGTCCACTGCTTAAGTATTTGTCAAGCTGTTGCCACTTCGAGGTTAACTGTTTTTCATTCTTCCGTGGTGTCATTGCTTTTTTTATGTGGCTAACCCTCAAACTTCTAATTTATTTGTCTTCACACTGCCTCTTTGAGGGAGGGAAATTTGAAAAAACTTCATTTTACAGTTGCAAAGCCAATACTCTGGTCAGAGATTAACCCAAAAGGGAATCCCAAGGAAAGTCTAGGTTAATACTCTTCACTATACCTTGCCTTCATGGTGATCCTGACTGTCAACACTTCTGGTTTTATTTCTTTCATCCTTCATTTTATCGTCTCTGCTAGTTTGTGCCAGGATAACTTGAAGGTGTGTAACACAGAAGCAGCCCATTATGCAGCATAAATATTTAACTGAGAGCTGCCTTTCCCATTTAACTTGTTTGTCTTTTAAGACAGAAATATATTGAGATTCAGGGAAATGAAGTAGCTTAATAATTATATATAGAGGGAAGCAGCAAGTGATACGAAAAACATAGCACGTGGGAGAGAAATTAAAGGTAGAGCAAATACAACAAAAAAAGAAAAAGAGAAGGAGAAAAAGTGTGATGAGGGATTGGAAGAGGAAAACTAGGACGTAGCAAAAAGTGAGAACCTGAGAGCAAGTAAAAAAAGAAAGATCAGAGAAAGAAAAAAGCCCGTAAGGAGAGCAGGGCAAGGCAAAGCAGGAGAAATCATCTGATGTAAGAATAACATTGCCTGTAAATATTTTCTACAGTTTTGCACAAGCAGGAAGTCAAGCTTCTCTGGTTGATGCAAGTCGATATATTCTGTGTGTGAACAAATTTTATTTCTTTCACTTCCCTGAACCTCTAAAAAATTCCTCA